ACATATTTAAGTTAATAATGTAATGGGCAGTAAAAACAATTCGGACCATACAATCCCAAAATTATCAATTCCAAATGAGGATGCTGCAGTAACTCTTGTCTGAAAAAAAGAATACACAAGAGAATGAGAAAAATAAAGTACAAGTATTACGAGTAGGAACGATAGCATGTTTGGATGTTTTTTGCAATGTTTAAACATCTGGAAAAAATATACAGCACTAACCAAAATCAAACAAGCAATTAGAGATAACATTTGGCCACTACAGTCCCAGATACTTTCTAAATCTAACATTTAACAAATAATGCAACCAATGTTTTTAGGAAGATAATGCACTAGGTTTTATGGAAATACTACACAAAAATATTGTAGTATTTCCTAGTTGAAAAGGTTGTCCTAGTTGTAGTTTTTGTAGTTGAAATAAAAAAAACTACAAAAAGTATTGAATATTATAAAAAGCAATAACATTTTCTTAAAATAAAAAGTAGTCTTATGGAAAAAATTATAATTACAATAATTATTATTCTATTTTAACAAAATTCAAGTGGTCAACTGATTTTAGCTGTCTTGTGTAGAATTTGTCCATAAATTAAATAGCCATAGAGAAGCAACAGTCACAAAAATGTAAATAGGATAAAAAAACTACAAAAAGTATTGAATAATATAAAAAGCAATAACATTTTCTTAAAGTAAAAAGTAATCTTATTGAAAAAAATAATAATTACAATAATTATTATTCTATTTTAAGGGTTTTAATGTTATTTTAGCCCTCGGAACAATTGAGACCCTTGAAAGCTCATACAAACTATTATTACAGTGGACCCCTCTTAACCAACCTCACAATAATAATTGGACTATCCGCACTCGCTCGTAAAATATTACAGTTTGTTTCAACAACTGACCTTGTTTGTAGAACAGTTCGGTTTAACCGCTACTTTCTAGGAATCAGCATTTCAGCTCCCATGCTTGGCGATGGGAACAATAAGCTAGACTCTACACAGGACGTTTCAGGCTATAAATAAACATCCTGTCTCGTAACAAAGTAGTTGCTTTTCTCTTTGATTTGTACACATGTCATGTACTGTATTATGATAAATTTGGAAAGAATCAATTTATGGTATTAAAATAAGGATTTTTATAGACTCTTGCCTACGGATATAATTTATTCAACTGAAAGTATTATTTGTTTTTACCTGTGTTGAGTTTATTTGTGCCTTTTTTATCGTTAATACTTAAGAAAAAAATGTATACATGTAGTTTATTTTGTAAATTTAACACGCACAACTTCAGAATAGTGATTATATAGTTCCAAATTAATAGGACTTCAATTTTTAAGTTTTTAGGGATTGCCGGTTTTAACCGACCTTTCGATTTATACAACCTAGGGTCGGTTAAGAGGAGGTCTACTGTAAAACACATGTTAGTGGCAATCCACAAAAGAACGCAGATCAGTTTCTAAATCTGTTAACCCTTTGAGTGCTATGGAACTTTATATCGTTGTTTACTAAAATCTTTAAGGTATAAGGAAGGTTATTTTAACAAAAAGTAGCAAAACGGACATTAGAGACTTGTATGTTCATAGGATACACTAACAACCACTTAGCTAAAACGCTAAAATATTCGCCCAATCCGATGATTCGAGTTGTATGTCTAAACCAAGGATGATGAACACCTCAATATGCCCCAGTAGTTGTAGTATATCGCTACAAACACACAGGTCACCAATTATTTGCCACACAAGACGGGAATCAAACCCGAGCAAACGAATGCCACTGGCCAAGTGACTAGCATTCTCAGCTATTTGTGCTTGGAGATAATGGAGTAAAAACTGGTATTAAAGCTGACGTCAACCATTGCTAACAGATAGCGCACCCGACAGCGCTACAATTTAGTTTTTTTCAATGCGTTACTAGGTAGCAGCAATAGTTAGTCTAAGACTATTTAGATTGGTTATATTTTTCAGCTGAACCACAACAGTGAGCATAAAAAATGGTGTTGCTGTGGCTTTACTGACAAACAGATTTTTTTCTAAAAAGGATATATTATAATAACCTTATCAAACTAAATCAAGGTTAAATTAAATTCAATATTACATTGTAAACTATATGTCTTTGGATTTCATGAGATTTTGGTTTAAAATAATGCTATCAGAACATTACAATTTATAAGAAAACTTGGAAATTTATAACGAAAAGACAGTTAAAAAAAATTAAACTGCAAATACTTAGACTCTTCTTTGTTATATATTTGTTAACCTATTATTCCAAATTAGCCAGATTAATAAAACAGTGAAAACAATACAGTTAAAATTCAACAACAGGTAATGGAATTAAAAGGCAAACAAAAAAAGTCTTACAAAATATGAATTATAGGCCTAGCAGTCAAAGGGTTAACCACAAAACCGACACAAATCAACATTTAAAAACTAGACATATTACATGCAGGTCAGCTGCATAGAATCTCTTAGCCAGTTGAATAGCATTATTCACAGACAAATCTTTGCTTGCAAGATGAAGGGGCGCAAGTACTTTCACCCCTTCATCTTGCAAGCGTCGAAAGGTATACTTTATAGGGCAAGAAGATGAAGCAAATGAAGGGTATCAACATCAGCCATTCTAAAAGCAAATTCATGTCTAATTAATTTTTACAAAATTACATCCACACCTAAGCCATTGATAGATCAAGAATTAAAATAAAATATAATTAATCGCCAACATTTTGATGATGCAAACTAAAAGAGTAATGCAGCATCTCTATCAGCAGAGTTGAAACATTACCACACTCTATGAGAGCTCCATTTAATCATGTTCGATGAAAGTCATATCAATTGTTTTGATCGGTTGTAGCTTATTGTTGCATTCTTGTCAATAGTTTGATTTATCAATTGCATAATACACACATTTTCTGACCTCGGCTTTACACTTGAACTCGGATAGAAAAGTCACTTTATACCATAGTGGTAAGATTATTACTGTTTAGACTCCACAGTGTACAAGTACAAAAACAACAATAACATAAAAACGCACAATTTTTTAATACTATAGAATCGTTTTATATAATACCTAAAAATGTAAAACAAAGTGTTAATTTTTCTTAATCTTTAAGCTTAAATGTTATTTTTACTGTGTTACATGTGTAATACAACTGTACTAAACATATTAAAAATCAGTAGGTACCACATTTGGACAGTGATTGGTCGAAAATCCTCACAACACTATCTCAACCCTCACAAGGGCGAACCTAGATCACATAACCTAAAAAGGACAGTTAAAACGGGCAACTATGTAAACATGTAAAGTCATTTTAATTTTCCCTTAAAGTAAAAAGCAATACAGTACCTGAATAGATATAATTCTATATTATTATTGCAATAATTATGGGAATGAACGTCTCTATATTCCTAGAAAACGTTTGTTAAATCAACCAGTTTTAAAATTCAGGGAGGAAAAATAAATTTATAACTTTGCCCAAACAGAAGCAGTTAATTCGAACTACCGTTGGTTAATTGATCCAGGGTCGGTGGAGAGAGTGCCTCCTGTCAAAGAAATCGTTTTGTCAGAAAATAAAACACCAAATCACAAACACTTGGATCGTTAGTACAAAAAGACAAATATTTTATACATTTACGAACAAATCACAAACAAAGCACATAGCCAGGGTCACTTAGGGGGCTCCAGCAACTCCCAAAATATTTAAGAAGTTATTTGCAGTTTATAAATCAACAGAAATAAACCAATTTTACATTCCCTCAGCAATCAAGTTAAGATTTCCCTTCAGTTATTAGGTACGGTAGTAGCTCGTCTGAATTGCAATCCTGGCTATGCACCTATTACAAACTCATTTCAATCATGGTAACATTAACAATGATACAAAACTTACAGTAGAGGTCTGCTCTTTCCTCCTATTGAACAAATACGAATAACGATTGCACATTTCATCCCAATTTACTGAAATAAGCAAACATGGAATGAGATAAAAGTAACGGTATGTGCTAGTACTGTTTAAAGAATGGAAGAAAAAGTAGATGTTGATATTTTTCTCACTTTGCTATTCAATTAATATAAATCTATATCTTCCTCAGACAGAAAGACTAGCAACTATTAATGACACATTTTGTACTGTACAATAAATGTTCAAAACAACAAAAATAGTCTTCAGTCTTTTGTGAGATTCGTTGGTTTATGGTAAAATAAAGTGTATAAAATATTATATTTTAATTAAGTTCTTTAAGTAATGAAATACAAACCTTATTTAATCTCGGATATTGATTGTATAAGGTAACCAAATTATGTAAAAGAAACACAAAAGTATCTGTGCATACTACTGACATTTTAGAACAACATTTGTGGGCCTATGCTGGCTATATGTGGTAGAAACAAAATAATCTAGGAATGTACAATCTCGTCAAACTAAAAGTCTATTAACTCAGGCTGTTTACCTTTTTGGCTCAGAAATGGTAACACGAATAACCCCATTAAGTTTAAGAAATACGAATTCCAGTAAAATATCTATTTCATTGAACATAAAAAGTCTGGATGATGCGACAAAAGTATGAATTCCACATATAGATATTAGGTACAAAATCGGTTTTGAGCTGAAACTCGATCTGAATGCCATCACCAGCATGGGCCAACAAAATGGTGACAATGTGCAAGAGGCCCCGATAGACAGAACAAGATACTTACAGTAACTATATAATTTTCAGCATAAAAGCAGCTCCTATGAAACAAGGCATAGCTCTATAAAATGTATTATCCTACAAAGAAACCACAAGTAAAACTGTTCCAAAAAACAAAACAGTAATCTTTTTGAGATCCAAAGTCTAATAAAACTTCATTACTCAACAGATAGTTTGTTTTTGTTTGCCAACCACAATTATAACTTTGTCTTAATTTATAGTCCACCCAGTTACAGAAATATTGTTTTTTAAATTAGCCTGTAAAATGTTTGATAAAGTTAAAGGTATAGTTTTGGAAACTTTAAGGATGTATTTATAGAGGTTAGAGGTTGTCAGTTTTAAGTTTTCGATACCAGTAAGTGGCTCTTTTCCTCCTCGTCCAATAGATAACTCCGAAGGCAAGCAGCACGATGATTAGCACAACCAGAACTACCAACACTGAAACAAAAAAAAAAAAAAAACTGAGTCAATATCAGCAAAATAATATTTTCCTTACCTAAACTAAAAAAGACCCGGTATGGATCATAAACATAAACAAATGACGATTTTGCCTGAAGCTAAACATTATTTAACATTGTTTTCACCACACTATGATGTTTATGGCTGTATTACATACGTTAATTGGTGGCTGAAAGTTACGTTTTGCTGGCGATGCCAGCTGTCATCGTAAATTGGGGACCGAGCAGGTTTTTACAGGCCGGGGCCGCAAAATCAGCTGTCCGCTTACTTACTTAAACATGAATGCATTTTAAATACACAATCAAAATACATAGCATTGCAATAGTATTGTGTTATTGTCACCGTTGCCTAGCAACTATTTATTTTTATTTTTGCTGATTCCTCAAATTATTTCTTCACATAACCTTAAAGTTGTAGTTGTGTTGACTATCAGTGTGCATTATTATAGTGGTGAATAGTGGTAATAGGGTATAGTGTGGTGAAAAATAGCGTTCGTACCACGGACCAAAATGGTTTTGCCGGCTCGAGATAGTTTTTAAGTTCGAGACGAGCCCTTGGTACGAAATATACTATTAAATGGAACTGTCTAAGCCATATGTTAATGCAATTAACATGCCAAATTCTATGTTTTATACAAGTACTATAAACAAAGGGATTGGGTTATGTAAATCAATGTGGGAACCATCAATCAAACATATAAACATATGTCGCGTATTAAAACAAACGGGAAACCCCTACTTACTTAATATTCGTCAATTTGATGAAGAAATTAGGTTTTGCCTGGAAAAATTGAATTTAAGTATTGAATTTATCGAATCAAAACCCAAGATACTGCGAGAAACCTTACGAGACTTAGAGTATCAAAATTGGTGTAAACTTCCATACAAAGGGAATGGGGTGGTTCTTTTCAAAGAATGTAATAAGATCAATAAAAATTTGGCTAGAGGTTGTGGCCTCACAGAAGCTGAGTTCAAACAATACTTATTCCTCTTAGAAGTCTTCATGGGAGATACAGGGACGGGAACCAGTGCAGGCATTGTCCTGTATCTGAGAAATTTATTCTTGAAACTCTTGCCCACGTCTTTGGAAAGTGCCCATTTAGTAGTCTTCTACGGAATACCCGCCACCATACGATCAGAAAAATCATAGCTGATCAATTCAGAAAGAAAAGTTACGAGGTCTATGAAGAAGTCACGGCTATAGAAGAGGAGGGCTCTGTGAGGCGGAGTGACATCATTGTTATAGACAAGGGGAAAGATTTCGGTCTCATTATAGACCCAACAGTTCGTCTTGAAACAAATGAAAATCAGCCACAGGAAGTCCATGAAGAAAAAGTAAATATTTATAAGAAAACAATCCCCTATTATTCGAAAAAGTAAATCGGTCCCGGGTCTAGGTCTTACCATGAGACCTACGGTAATAATAGCTTATTCCCTATATGAGAAATTCACTACAACTGAATTATTTAATTGAGTAACACTAAGTATTAGAAAGCTGTATAAACCAAAAAAGTTTAATGTGACAAGAATTGCCATAACAGATCAAATATTTACCCAACAAGAGATTTGGGGTGTCAGGTCTGCTAATCGAGCGGTGCAAACAAAAAAGTAAACAAATAATCTTTTTTCTAAATTAAATAGGAATTTGAAAAATATTAATAATCAATGCAATACTTCATCATACGAGTACCTAACTTCAAAGTATAATAATAGTAACAATATAACAGTTCTTACATCTTTAATGTAAAAAGCAAAAAGTTATTTAGCTTCAGTAAATAAAATGTCATAAAACGGTACAGTAAAAGATTGTTTTAAAGCATCATTTGAAGGCCTGACAAATGGTGAAGTGTTGCGGTTAGTAGCAATTGCAATCCATTGTTATACAACCCATAGAACAATTGATATTGTCATGCAGGTATTACCAAATGTAATTCCGTCACCAGCTAAAATCTTTAACAGACTCAGCCGACCAACAAAACCAATCAGCATCTTGCATCCTTTCACTATCGACGATCCTGCAAGATTAAGGATAGGTAGATATTATATAGAGTTTTACTTTGGGAGGTATAGTAAAATGAAACACGTTAGTTATAAATAAAAATTTTAAATACCTGCTGTAGGTACTTTCGGTGATTCAAAGTTGCTAATGAGCTAAAAAATGAACCTTTAGGTTCGAAACCTTGGTCACAGATTAATAAACGGATCACAAACAATACAGCAGGTATTTAACCTTTTGATTTGTAAAAAAATGTGATGCTGAGGCTAACATGTTAACAGATTAGTTGCCTATGGGGTGGAAGCAATGAATATACAGAAATGGTTATGGAAAGTAATTAATACAAGCTGAAGAGTTGGGATTTTTTTAGGGTACTAAGAGGTAAAAGTAGAGGTAAAGAGGAGAGTGGAGGGATCAGAAGTACAGTGCTTGAGGACAGTTTAAAGTGATTGTAGAAAAGGACATGTGCGAATAATGCGAGAACAAAGAGTTCTGGGTTATTGGTAGAAGACAATGAGGGAGACCTAGATAAGACTTTTAGCGTCTTTTACAGAAGATAGCATTTATGAGATGAAGAGGGGTGTGGATAAAATAGGAGTAAGATTAAAGATGGTGGAGAAAAGGAAATGTGAAGGTATACAAGATAATGGAGAGGTCTTTCTCTGGTAATATCCATATCAAAACAATATCTATGTATTTAATTTATATTCTATTTAGAAAGAATTAGAGTAAAATAGGTATAATTGAAAAATAAACAAATATTGCCATAAATATAAATCTCAAGGAAAATTGGGTTTTTCAAAATTACAAATTTCCAGGTCAAACTTACCAAACAAAAATATTTTTAAAACCCTTCCGTCACATCAAACCTGCAGACTAAATAAAATTCTATTAGCCTGATTAGATTTTCACTATAATATTTCCTTAATGACACACTTATGACATACTATCTTCTTTATTATAACGAGCTGGTGGCCCGTCCTACGTACGGGAATCGAGTTGTCAACTAAAACGGAATAATTCAGAACATCTAGTTTACATGCATAGACACAAATGCTGGCAGTTTTGATGGGGTAGATCACCTTATAAACAAATGTAACGTGACCACCTATTTATTACATTCGAATATAGACCTAAAATATGGCGATATGTTTTTTAAATCAGATAATTTTACCCTAAAACAGCATTTGTGTCGATTTGAAAAATCTTGAAGTGGGATTGGCGACCGATTCACACTGGTTTTGAGAGTAGCTACATGCCACCTCAAATTGCATACTGTAGGCCTACTACAGTACTTATGTACTTACCGTACCTTATTTTACCTCCGTGACCACTGAAACTTTTATGAGGATTCTCTTCTATGACCTGCCTCTTCAAAATTTAGATTCCAGTCTGAGGATGCATTTCATAACTTGATATTTCCCGTCTATCGTGTGGTACTCCTTGGAATACACTTTTTTAAAGTTTATGCACAGCCTGTCCATCCAAGCTTTACCTACTTCTGGAAAGCATCCCTAAATTTGGGTGTTAACACATTTCTCTTAGCTCTCTGTTCTTTTTTATTTCGACCTCCGGACCGTTATCTTGAACTGGTCTGTATATTTTCTCTGCACTTTATTATCTAACCCATCATTAAGGTTTTTCGGTTCTTTGGTCAGTGCCCAAGTTTCTGAATCATCAGTACTACGGGGATAGTTGGTATGGTATGAGTCGACTTTGGTTTCTGCTGCACCCTGCAGTTTATTTAACAGTTTTATAGAGACCTACTACACCGATTGACGCTTTCATTACTAACCAAAATTTTAGTATGCCGACATACTCACATTCAAACATACAGAAAAATAAGTATCAACACGTAAACCGCTTATATCTAAAACAATTAAGTGATAAACTGCTGATAAAATATTTCCCAAATATGAGTTGAAATTTGCAATGCATAAACTAAATACTTACACAGATTGCATTTACGACAAAACTTGATTAAACGCAAGGGTTTGAGATGTTTAGTTCAAAATAACACATTTCCTGATAACGCAGATACTTCACGGTAAGGGAAAACTACCTACATTTTAAAGTGAAATAGCAGTGTTGGGGAAGCTACTTTTAAAATGTAGCTAGCTACAACTACTGCTACATTTCCAAAAAAGTAGCTTAGCTACAGCTACAGCTACAGTTCCGAAAAAGTAGCTAGCTACAACTACAGCTACAATGAAATGTAGCTACAGCTACAATTTTAGCTACTTTTCCAAAGACGTTACTTTTTATTCCACGCACATTAGGTAAATGTAAAATTAATTGCAACAACATTTTTATTGAACAAACATTTAAACAAGAAATGTCAGTATTGTATCTAACATTACTTGGAAAACAAATTATTCCTAGATTTGATTTAATTTGTCGGCATTATAAAACTAACATTACAACAACAGCATCAAATAATTGGGTGTCCCATCATATTTAGTACTTATTTTTAAATATTGCATAAGCATCTTATATGTAAATTTCATTAAGTTCAAAGGACATACAACCAAACTATATTTTAAAAGCTCATTTTATTTCTTTAATATAGATTTATTTATAGATGTCTTATATCAACAATTAAGACCACTTAAACTGTAAAACGATTATTTAAAAATACTTTTTTGTATTACAGAGCATAGCCTATTGAAATTGGAGTTTATTACCTTTCTTTACTTTTAATGTTAAAAACGACATTGCTATAACTTTTAACCATAGTGATAAGTTACTTGTTCTCTATGAATAACACTTTTCAATGTCAAGAAATCGTCCTTTATTGTCATTATGCATAGGGCAAGTGCTTCAACCTAGTTGGTACAGAAAACAGTATTCAGCAACTTATCCTGAAATCGGCTTTTAATTTAAATATGTTGAAATTTGTAAAGTAAAAATAACATGTAGGCCTACTTGGCTATGTAACAAGTTGGCTATAGTAGCTTTGTTCTTGCAAGGACTAAACAGATATATTCCTAATAATTGAACTTGGTATTCGTTTTAAGCCCTAGCATAGCCTAGGAATAGTCCAATACAAAAGCTGTTAGCAGGAGCAAACTATGCTATTTTTTAAATGTAAGTTTCATGTCATATGGAGATTTTTTTGTTACAATTATCATGTAGTCTAGGCATATCTTAAATCTCATCAGGTAATTTCCTCTTTGTTAATTTAGTAAACCTTAGAAAAATCTTTGTAATCTAACCAAGGAGGGCTTGTGATGATGAACCACAATCAACGGCTGAAGCAAAGGTTGATAGACCAGCTTTCTCATTATTTTAAGGTTAAGTGTTGGTTTTCATTAAAACCCTAGTTAAAACACTATCAATATAACAAAGAAACTAAATTGATTACTAATTTCCCTGTCAATCACTTGCAAGCGTTCAATAGCTTGTATTGTCACTGGTACCGGTAACGTTTAAACGTCGTCTGCATGTAGCGATTTTATTTTATCTGACAGTAATCATAGAGTAGTAAATTAAGGAAACGAGAGCTAAAACTGTGGATAACACTCATTAAATGGTCTCCATGTCCACACAACGTTGTAATAGGGAATGAAACGGCTGCAACCAGCTGTATGAAGCCAAGAAAGTAGGCCTAATTGTTTTGAAAATCTCAGTCTCAGTTTGAAAGATGTTGTTTCACGTAAGGTTGAGGTTATGGTAAAAATCACTATCTCAAACAATGTAAATGTAGCGAGAAAAGTAGCTAAAATTCCGCTACAACTACTTTAAAAATGTAGCTAGCTACAGCTAAAGCTACAAAATTTTAAAAGTAGCGACGCTACAGCTAACGCTACAAAAAAAGTAGCGCGCTACTGTAGCGTCGCTACTTGTAGCGCGCTACTTCCCAACACTGTGAAATAGTATGTAAGCAAAAACCAACGAAAAATATTTTTGTAAACAAACAACTCGTAACATAAACATTTCAATGACAGTTATAAACCAGCTGTTAGTTAAACCAGCATTGAAAATACTTTAAATTGCTAGCGTCGGCTGCTAGGCTTTTTAAAAATTAAAACTTCATTTCTAAAAAAACTGAAACCCTAAACTAAAATTATGGCTTCGACATTCCCTAGTTCTCAAAATTATCTTTCTTTCAACACAAAAATCATGAAAATCCGTCAAGTGGTTGATTCAGAATCGTGAAATAAAAAAAACCTGTTTCGTTTTAATATTATAGATATATATTTAAATAGCATTACTTTTAAGGAGTGCTTAGGTTTGATGCTAAAGGGAAGGTATTAAAGCGTGTTTTTTGATGAAATACTTTTAGCTTAGTATAAACCACCCAAAGATTGAAAAATTCTACTTTAGGTCAATCATCTATACATTAATTACGTAAGTCAATTCTTGGTGTCAAAATTGTGGGCGACTGGGAAGTCGTAGAACGACGGAAGAGGGCTCAAATTAAAGGTCCCAATCCCGTGACGGTGGGAAAGGTAGTGAAATTCCAAACATTTTAACACAAAATTAGATATATTGTAAAGTTCTCTACATAAGAATTGCTTTAGAAGCCATTCACTGCTGATTTTTGTTTACTTCAATACAGCTGATCGTGACATGATTTAACATCAAGCAAGTAAGCAATATCACATTTTGAATTACTCATTTGCCAGTCAATTCTGCAATGTACTGTATACTATATAAAACTTGGCATAACATTTCCTATAATAATTAAGACTGTTTAGTAACGTAGGCTATTCGAAAGTTTAAATCAATTGTTTTACTGTGCATTTGCAAACTTGTGTGTTTTTAAGTAAACTAGTGGCTTGTAGGGACATAAGCCCCTAAAAAGCTCAAATGTAAAACAACTTTTTGCAATACCGGTATTTAAACAAACTCAGAATAACATTATCTATGTGTCAGAATAGGCATCCCTACACCATATCTTTTGTGTAAAAACCAGTTTGTTGTTCTTCTTTGTTTGCTTTTGTTTATGTCATTTTCAATAAATAATTTGAATCACTCCAGTGGTTTAACATGAAAAGGCAGCAAACATATCATTGT